AATAATACGTTTTTTTAAATCGGATAAAAATTACAACCTCTATAGGGTCCACAAACTAAAAACGCGATTTTTCATACAATCAGGGGCCATAATTCAGGAAGTTACAGTCTGTTGTGAGCGAATATCGAAAGGAACCGAGATCTTTGGGTTTTTAACTTATATTTCAAGTTTCAACAAAATCGGATAAAAATTGTGACCTCTATAGGGTCCACAAACAACCTTGATATACCATATTTTTACACTATTTGAGAACGAACGGCGGCCATTTTGTCTGTCAATTATTATAATCTGCAAGTTTCATTGAAATTGGTTTGTAATTGCGGTCTGTAGCCGTGCACCATGAAATGTGTGGTAACCTGATATCTCGGCAACCGCTAACCGGAAGTGGTCGAAATTTTGGCTACTCTGAGATATTATCAATGTTATCATATTCTGCAAGTTTCATTGAAATCGGTTGATAATTGTGGTCTGTAGCCGTGCCACATGAAATGTGTGGTAACCTGATATCTCGGAAACCGCTAACCGGAAGTGGTCGAAATTTTGCCTACTCTGAGATATTATCAATGTTATCATATTCTGTAAGTTTCATTGAAATCGGTTGATAATTTCATTGAAATCGGTTGATAATTGTGGTCTGTAGCCGTGCCACATGAAATGTGTGGTAACCTGATATCTCGGAAACCGCTAACCGGAAGTGGTCGAAATTTTGGCTACTCTGAGATATTATTAAAGTAATTATAATCTGCAAGTTTCATTGAAATCGGTTAATAATTGTGGTCTGTAGCCGTGCCACATGAAATGTGTGGTAACCTGATATCTCTGAAACCGCTAACCGGAAGTGGTCGAAATTTTGCCTACTCTGAGATATTATTAATGTTATCATATTCTGTAAGTTTCATGGAAATCGGTTGATAATTGTGGTCTGTGGCCGTGCCACATAAAATGTGTGGTAACCTGATATCTCGGAAACCGCTAACCGGAAGTGGTCGAAATTTTGGCTTCTCTGAGATATTATTTATGTTATCATATTCTGTAAGTTTCATGGAAATCGGTTGATAATTGTGGTCTGTAGCCGTGCCACATGAAATGTGTGGTAACCTGATATCTCGGAAACCGCTAACCGGAAGTGGTCGAAATTTTGGCTACTCTGAGATATTATTAAAGTAATTATAATCTGCAAGTTTCATTGAAATCGGTTAATAATTGTGGTCTGTAGCCGTGCCACATGAAATGTGTGGTAACCTGATATCTCTGAAACCGCTAACCGGAAGTGGTCGAAATTTTGCCTACTCTGAGATATTATTAATGTTATCATATTCTGTAAGTTTCATGGAAATCGGTTGATAATTGTGGTCTGTGGCCGTGCCACATAAAATGTGTGGTAACCTGATATCTCGGAAACCGCTAACCAGAAGTGGTCGAAATTTTGGCTTCTCTGAGATATTATTTATGTTATCATATTCTGTAAGTTTCATGGAAATCGGTTGATAATTGTGGTCTGTAGCCGTGCCACATGAAATGTGTGGTAACCTGATATCTCGGAAACCGCTAACCGGAAGTGGTCGAAATTTTGGCTACTCTGAGATATTATTAAAGTAATTATAATCTGCAAGTTTCATTGAAATCGGTTAATAATTGTGGTCTGTAGCCGTGCCACATGAAATGTGTGGTAACCTGATATCTCTGAAACCGCTAACCGGAAGTGGTCGAAATTTTGCCTACTCTGAGATATTATTAATGTTATCATATTCTGTAAGTTTCATGGAAATCGGTTGATAATTGTGGTCTGTGGCCGTGCCACATAAAATGTGTGGTAACCTGATATCTCGGAAACCGCTAACCGGAAGTGGTCGAAATTTTGGCTTCTCTGAGATATTATTTATGTTATCATATTCTGTAAGTTTCATGGAAATCGGTTGATAATTGTGGTCTGTAGCCGTGCCACATGAAATGTGTGGTAACCTGATATTTCAGAACTCGCTAACCGGAAGTGGTCGAAATTTTGCCTACGCTGAGATATTATTAATGTTATCGTTATCGGTAAGTTTCATTGAAATCGGTTGATAATTGCGGTACAGAAACTTGCCACATGTGGCAAATAGTCTCCGGATTGACTTACCACATGTGGCAAATAGCCCCAGCCAGATAAAAATGGTGACCTCTATTGGGTCCACAACCTTAATTTTGATATACCATATTTTTACGCTATTTGAGAATGAACGGCGGCCATTTTGTCTGTCAATTTTGGGCCGATTTTCACGAAATTCGAACCCAGTCGTCCTTAGGGTGTAACGGTTATATAATAATACGTTTTTTTAAATCGGATAAAAATTACAACCTCTATAGGGTCCACAAACTAAAAACGCGATTTTTCATACAATCAGGGGCCATAATTCAGGAAGTTACAGTCTGTTGTGAGCGAATATCGAAAGGAACCGAGATCTTTGGGTTTTTAACTTATATTTCAAGTTTCAACAAAATCGGATAAAAATTGTGACCTCTATAGGGTCCACAAACAACCTTGATATACCATATTTTTACGCTATTTGAGAACGAACGGCGGCCATTTTGTCTGTCAATTATTATAATCTGCAAGTTTCATTGAAATTGGTTTGTAATTGCGGTCTGTAGCCGTGCACCATGAAATGTGTGGTAACCTGATATCTCGGCAACCGCTAACCGGAAGTGGTCGAAATTTTGGCTACTCTGAGATATTATCAATGTTATCATATTCTGCAAGTTTCATTGAAATCGGTTGATAATTGTGGTCTGTAGCCGTGCCACATGAAATGTGTGGTAACCTGATATCTCGGAAACCGCTAACCGGAAGTGGTCGAAATTTTGCCTACTCTGAGATATTATCAATGTTATCATATTCTGTAAGTTTCATTGAAATCGGTTGATAATTTCATTGAAATCGGTTGATAATTGTGGTCTGTAGCCGTGCCACATGAAATGTGTGGTAACCTGATATCTCGGAAACCGCTAACCGGAAGTGGTCGAAATTTTGGCTACTCTGAGATATTATTAAAGTAATTATAATCTGCAAGTTTCATTGAAATCGGTTAATAATTGTGGTCTGTAGCCGTGCCACATGAAATGTGTGGTAACCTGATATCTCTGAAACCGCTAACCGGAAGTGGTCGAAATTTTGCCTACTCTGAGATATTATTAATGTTATCATATTCTGTAAGTTTCATGGAAATCGGTTGATAATTGTGGTCTGTGGCCGTGCCACATAAAATGTGTGGTAACCTGATATCTCGGAAACCGCTAACCGGAAGTGGTCGAAATTTTGGCTTCTCAGAGATATTATTTATGTTATCATATTCTGTAAGTTTCATGGAAATCGGTTGATAATTGTGGTCTGTAGCCGTGCCACATGAAATGTGTGGTAACCTGATATTTCGGAACTCGCTAACCGGAAGTGGTCAAAATTTTGCCTACGCTGAGATATTATTAATGTTATCGTTATCGGTAAGTTTCATTGAAATCGGTTGATAATTGCGGTACAGAAACTTGCCACATGTGGCAAATAGTCTCCGGATTGACTTACCACATAAGGCAAATAGCCCCAGCCAGATAAAAATGGTGACCTCTATTGGGTCCACAACCTTAATTTTGATATACCATATTTTTACGCTATTTGAGAATGAACGGCGGCCATTTTGTCTGTCAATTTTGGGCCGATTTTCACGAAATTCGAACCCAGTCGTCCTTAGGGTGTAACGGTTATATAATAATACGTTTTTTTAAATCGGATAAAAATTACAACCTCTATAGGGTCCATAAACTAAAAACGCGATTTTTCGTACAATCAGGGGCCATAATTCAGGAAGTTACAGTCTGTTGTGAGCGAATATCGAAAGGAACCGAGATCTTTGGGTTTTTAACTTATATTTCAAGTTTCAACAAAATCGGATAAAAATTGTGACCTCTATAGGGTCCACAACCTTGATATACCATATTTTTACGCTATTTGAGAACGAACGGCGGCCATTTTGTCTGTCAATTTTGGGCCGATTTTCATGAACTTCGAACTCAGCCGTCCTTAGGGTGTAACGGTGATATAATACGTTTTTTTTTTAAATCGGATAAAAATTATGACCTCTATAGAGTCCACAAGCTAAAAACGCGATTTTTCGTACAATCAGGGACAATAATTCAGAAAGTTAAGGTTTGATATGCGCGAATATCGAAAGGAACCGATATCTTTGGATTATCAACTTACATTTCAAGTTTCAACAAAATCGGATAAAAATTGTGACCTCTATACAAACAGGGGCCATAATCCATGAAGTTTCGATTTGATACATGCCAATATCGAAAGGAACCGAGATCTTTTGGAGATAAACCTATATTTCAAGTTTCGTCAAAATCGAATAAGAATTGTGACCTGTAAAGTGTCCACAAACAAATTGTGGACGGACGGACGGACAGGGGCGACGACAATCTACGTCCACATGAAAATGTGGGCGTATAAAAATAACGTTTTTAGCTTGTGGTTTTAAAAAAACGTTTTAGTATATCACCGTTACACCCTAATGATGGTTGAGTTTGAAATTCGTGAAAATCAGACCAAAACTGCCAAACAAAATGGCCACCCCTTGTACGCAAATAGTGTAAATATATTGTATATCAAGGTTTTGGAACCTCTAGAACTCGCAATTTTGATCCGATTTTGATGAAACTTGAAATATATATTTATAACCCAAAGATCTTTGTTCCTGTCGATATTTGCGCATATCGGATTGTAACTTCTTGAATTATGGCCCTTGATTGTTCGAAAAATCGCCTTTTGTTTAGCTTGCTCTCTAACTATCTCTTGCAAAATGTGGGCCTATCCTGCCTGGCAGCCGCTGGTTTCATTGGTACGGGAAGTGGCGTCAGTTCAAGGGTAACGTGGCACTGGTGAAACCCGTCATCACCGTATCACAGTTCTAATTATCATTATTAAATTAACAAAAAAGTTTTCAAGAAGCATTTTTATTTATTTTCAGGAGCTAAAATATTGGCCAAACCAGATATACCAGCCTGCATTTTATCAGCTGTAAATTATAATGCACTATTTTATTTTTTATTGGCCAATATATTAACAGGGTTAGTAAACATATCTATGCAAACAATCTATACATCCACATTTATGTCTTTTCTTATACTCCTTATATATTTACTTTTATTATCATTTGTTTCTATGTTTTTATATCATAATAAAATATTAGTTAAATCTTGGTAAATAAAAGATATAGGTATGTTTTTTATGTTTTATTTATTTGTTGAAACCATGTATACATCAGATTAAGCTTCTATTTGTAAAGGAAAGGAATGGTGTTTAATCTTGAATGTCTCGTCCACACAATACTACATGTACAGTAATTTTGAAATGTGGGGGTATTATGCCTTTACATTTTCCATTTGTCAACAACTGGCTTGTGAAAACCCCAGCTTTTTTAGAGACACTACCCACTTCATTTAAAGATTAGAATCCATCGACCTACCCAAGAAACCGATGATATTCTCCTTACAATGGATGTTACGCCCCTCTATACCAACATCCCCTCCAACGAAGGCTCACGAGCAGTAGCCAAAAGCATACTCACATATAAACCCAATTGGAGAATCTACACCACGTACCTAATCGCACTCCTAAAACTTGTACTAACAAAAAACAACTTCATTTTTATACGCCCATATTTTCATGTGGAGGTATTATGCCGTCGCCCGTGTCCGTCCGTCCGCCCAGAATTTGTGGACACTCTACTATAGGTCACAATTTTTATCCGATTTGACAAAACTTAAAATATAGGTCTAAACTTAAAATATAGGTCTATCTCCCAAAGATCTCGGTTCCTTTCGATATTGGCATGTATCGGACCATAACTTCATGGATTAAATTATGGCCCCTGATTATACGAAAAATCACGTTTTTAGCTTGTGGACACACTAGAGCCAAAGGTCACAATTTTCACCCGATTTTGATGAAACTTGAAATGCATGTTTATAACCTGAAGATCTTGGTTCCTTTCGATATTCGCGCACATCGGGTCGTAACTTCCCGAATTATGACCCCTGATTGTACGAAAAATCGCATTTTTAGCTTGTGGTCCATCTAGATGTCACAATTATTAACAAACCGTTAGCATATATGACCGTTACACAGTAATTTTGGTTGAGTTTGAATTTCGTGAAAATCGGACGAAAACTGCCGGACAAAATGGCTGCCCTTCTTACGCAAATAGCATAAACATCTGGTATATCGTTGGTGAGCTATCAAAATTGCGTATATCGTCAAAATTTCGTATATCCTTTTATCCCAGTTTCTAAATCCCCGGCGTCTGGCGCGAATTTCTATCTGGGTCTCTTAACTCTAAACCAATTAGAAATACTCTTTTGGAACACAGGACAAAAAGTCGTATTTTGATTGGTGATTATTTGGTATCGCAAAATTTCGTACCTCCGGTGAAATTGATCGTCACCTCGTGTGGTTTTGCCTAGCTAAATAATTGGACTTGTAGGTGAGTAATTTGTTATTTTTAGAACTTAATTAATGTTTACGATACTTATCAGACATGAAACTCGCTAAAAGAAACTATCAATCGGTCTGTAGAGTCCTAAATTATGATGATATTTAGAGATAGGCTTCCTATGTATGCATCGTGGGTGTTATTTATTAATAAAGTTGGTAAATATATTTTCTACATATTCATTGCAACATTGTATGAGCTTTGTTTAAAAATATAATGAATACAGAGTGTTAATAACCGTATTAATTTGAAATTAGTGATATACGAGAATATAACATAGGAATATTTCTGAAGTCTAAGCCTATTTATAATCAAGTTAAACTGCTATACGAATATTTGATATGTAATAATTGATAATGCCTTAAACTGTTTATCGTAAGATTTTTAAAGATATTCTCAAATTATGTTTCAGAAAATCAACAAAATGGGTGATTTTTCAAGAGGAAAATTGCTGCTAAAAATGGCTCTAAACTCTAAAAGTAATAGGCCTTCAAATCCAGGTGAAGTTGAATCAACTTCGGCGTTTCAGAAGATTCCTAAGGAGCCTGTTCTTACGTGGAATAGGAGAAGATCTCAAATATTTTCATCTGGAATTTCAGTTGCGAAAACTGACATCAGACTATTACCAACAATGGTTAGCATTACCAAGGAAACGTCATCTGCATCTCGAACAATACTGTCTATACACCAAAACCAACACCCCACTTACCCGCATCAACTCCGTACTTGCCTGCATCTACTTCCAAGTTAACGTCATCAGCTATCAACTTACCTGTAACCATGTCCTACTCACCTGCAACAGTGTCCTACACACCTGTATCGACGACTAACTTACCGGCAACAACGTACTATTCCCCCACATCAACGTCATGGTCCCATTTACCTGCATCAGAATCAACACTTTACATACCCCCCTCAAATAAATACTTACCTGCATCAGAATTCTTCTCACCTGCATCAACAACCGAATTATCCATAACGACGCCCTACTCACACGAATCAACGTCATTGCCCTACTCACCTGCATCAAAATCAATTTCGTTCATAAATTCACCAAATACCTACCTACCTGTATCAACGACCAGCTTACACCTAACAACGTGCAACCCACCCGTAGCAACGTCCTGGAAAAACTTACCAGTAATAACGTCGTCCTACATACAGGCATCACCGTCGTGGTCTTTCTTACCTACATCAACGTCCTGCTTACCTTCTTCCACATCTTACTTAGCTGAGCGTACATCATCCACTTATTTACCTGAATCAAATTCACATTTACCTGCATTTAACTCATATTTACCTGAAGCAACGTCTTACCTACCTGCATCAAACTATCGTCTTCCTGTGGGACAAACATCAACGTCAGTTACGGATCAAAGCTGTAACAGTATGCCAAGGCTCCTTAGATCAACTGATACGGATGCCTTGTTTCATACACTAAGCTGTGATCAAATTTACCTGAATCTATTCCAGATATTAGTCTACCAATTCCTTGTGACAATCCATTCATACCAACTTCAGCAATTAGAATACAAGGGCAGCCAATACCACAAACTACCCCTTTAAAACCTAAAGTCAATTTGCGATGCTTCGAGTTGGGCAATTTCACGGACTCTGAGAGTGAGTTCGATGATGATGATGATGATGATGATGATGATAGAGATCCAGAATGGACACCAAGAAAGAAGACTTCTATGTTTGAACTTGACTCTGATGATGGTGTACAGCCCATTCCGGATGATGATATTTTGACAACCATCATTATCGATTCACCGAATACAGCCATAAAAGAGCACTCTAAGAGTCGTGCTAAGCGTGGAAGGTCAAATCCATCAAACTTGTATAGAAATATAAATAAAAGACTTCGTATGGAGGGTAAAAGTTACAGGGGCCTGAAACAAGATGAAGGTGGCAACTATGCTCTTTCAAGTGAAAGGATGGGTCGACAAATGGGTGAGCCGAAGTGCGCAAAGTCTTGCCGAATGAGTAAAAAATGTTCTGTTTTCAATGAAGAAGAGCGGCAATCGATATTCAATGGCTTTTGGGCTGACATGTCCTGGAACCAGAAGAAAGTATTTGTGGCTGGCTTGGTTGATGAAGTGGTGGCTAGCAACAGAAAGAAACCAGCAGAAGAGAGCCGAAAAAAGAAGTCTTTTAAATACTACCTTAAAAAAGAAAATGAACGTGTTAGCGTTTGCCGAAACATGTTCTTGGCTACTCTTGGTGTTAATGATAAGACTGTTTACGAATGGTTGAAAGGCAATTCTCCTGCGGGTATCCCAAAGACAGCTGCAGCAACTAAAAGACGCGTTTCGGTATCTAATACAGAGAAGGTCAACTATGCGCGACACTTCTTTAACGAACTTCCGAAATTACCTTCACATTACTGTAGGTCCTCTTCGAAGAAAAGTTATCTGGAGCCAGTCTTTACTAGTGCTTCTGAATTATACAAAGTGTATGTGAAGGATTGTAAACACAATGATAAGCTTTCGCAGGAAGGCTTTTATATCCGTATTCAATGATCTTAATTTGGGCATTCATCGACCTAAGAAAGACAGAGGTGACATTTGTTGTGGTTATGAGACAAATAATATCCTTGAAGCAGACTATAACTTACACATCTCACGTAAAAATGAGGCGAGGGCTGAGAAAGCTGCAGACAAACTTCGTTCAGAAATTGAAGATCACGTTAAGGTCGTGACATTAGATCTCCAGTCCTTGTTATTATGTCCTTTACTAACTGCTAGTTCCATGTACTACAAGACGAAATTGGGATGTCATAATTACACAATTTTTGATCTTGCGAGCAAAGATGTGGTCAATTACTTTTGGCATGAAGGTATTGGGGATCTTAATGCAAACACTTTTGCCTCTTGCTTAAATGATTATATAAATTCTATCGACCATGATGTCAAAGAACTTATTTTGTATAGCGATGGTTGTACATACCAAAATAGAAATGTAATTTTGTCAAATATGTTATTAAAAGCTGCCACTGAGCGAGAAATAACCATCGTGCAAAAATTTCTTGAAAAGGGCCACACTCAGATGGAATGTGATTCGGTTCACAGCACGATTGAGAGATGAATTCGTGGTAAACCTATTTATATTCCACAGAATTACGTGGACTTAATACGTACAGCAAGAGTAACCCCATTTTATAAAGTGAAATATCTTACACACGACTTTTTTAAAACTTTCTCTTTGTTAGGTTATTATTCCACAATTCGTCCCGGTGCACGTAGTGGTGATCCTGTAGTTACGGATATTCGTGTTTTGCAGTATAAGGATGGTAATATTCAGTATAAAACAAACTTTACTGACGAGTTTAATGATCTCCCTAGACGTAATAAAAGGTGTCCTCCGTCAAAGGATGACCCTATAGAGCTCCATTGCTTATACGACGACCCACTTAAGATCAAGTCAAAAAAGTACACCCATTTACAAGAACTTAAAAAGGTAATACCCTCTGATTACCATCCTTTTTATGACAATTTACTTCATGAGGCGGAATAAGTTGAATGCCCCAATTATGTTGATTAATTGAAGTACTCGTTTCATTAACTTGTATGAATGAATTTACTAAAATAATGGGTTTTGTTTCATGTTTTGTAAGGTTTAGTTAATCACAGGCCTACATTATGATGTTTGTTATTATTTACTGTTGTTATATTGTAATTAACTTGAAATATCCGCGTCCAGTAGACGTGTTCATGTTTTGTTTTAGTCCAAATAAATTAATAATGAACATTTTTGTCTGATATCTTTATTTTAACATTAGCTTCAAAATTCCGTATATCCCCTAAAAAGACCACATTTTCGTATTACTACCATGTCAAATTTTCGTATGTGTGCTTACGTAAAATTATATCACGATTTTCCGTTGTGCTTATTATCAGTAAGTAACGTGTAAAATAACGTTTCTCCGTTCCAAATTTCAAGATGATACGACAATATCTCACAAAGTTATTCAGTTTTTTGTTCCTCCTGTAAAATTTTTATGCCTTCGTATACACCACTATACGCAATTTTGATAGCTCACCGACGATATCAAGGTTGTGGAACCTCTAGAGGTCACAATTTTAATTCAATTTTGATAAACTTGAAATGCATGTTTATATCCCAAAGATCTTGGTTCTTTTCGATATTTGCGCATATCGAATCGTAATTTCCTTAATTATGCCCCCTGATTGTGTGGTTTATAGATGACATTTTCCTCATCTGGACACAATGGAAACACCAAACTACTCCTCCAACTGATGAACACTTTTCTTAAACCATAAAGTTCACAGCTAAATACTCAACTGATAAAGTGCCGTTTCTAGACACTATGGTAAGTTTCAACCCACTCACAATTTTTTTTTTCGTTTGACCTTTTCTACGAACCGACACACACACGACACTCTTACCTTTCCTACACCTCATGCCCCACCCCGCATATCAAACATAAGGGACCCTACAGCCAATTTATGAGATTCAAACGCATCTGCTTACACCATACAGATTACACTAAACATGTAGACAAATTAGAACATTACTATTTCCAACGAGTTTACCCCAGAGATATTATCTAATCGAACCGATCCAAAGCCGATAAAACTAATAGGAACACTCTCCTACAAACCAAACAACCCTCGAGAAAAACAAACGTCCAGTCTTTATTACGGATTACAATCCCACTTTGGTACACTGGCATATCCTCCATAGCTCCAACGATTGCCTCAGGGCCTTCCCCAAACCTTACCTAACAACTTCTAGACTGAACCCATCCCTAAAAGATATGTTATCCCCCGCCACTATCAAAAACCCCACGTAAACCCCAAGTTAGTGGGAAAAGTTACGCATATTTAGACTCTATCTGTAACTTACCTAATTCAGTAATTGTCAATATGCAAAATACTTAAACATGCATTATGCAAGAGCCAATTCTGATTATTACAAGTCTTTCTTTAGGCCTGAAATGTTATCTAAATTATCAATTAGTCATTAATTAACTTATCCAGACCATAATAAACTCTCGATGTCAAGGCTAGCCTTCGATGTTGGCTGCATTAGATTCCTATATTCCGCTTAACGGCCATTGATAATTAAATCAATTACTTAATGATTTTAGTAATGATGACCGAGACTATGCGAAAATTTCACCCGCTTCGTTCTCGGCTTGTAGTGGATCAATTTGACTGAAATTTTCAGCAAATTACCTTTACACTATCTAGTTTTTAACTATTATAGCGAGAACTGCCATCTCTTTATCTTATCTCCCATAATGTATCTTTAAACTTAAGACCACTTTCTGTTCTAGTCAAACTGGCAAAATGTATAAATGTCTCAACAACTGGACTTGACATAGCAAGAATGTAATATACTTATACTTGTAATTTTATGTCATAAACAATATGTAGGTGAAACCGAACCAAAAAAATGTTCCGCATCAGGCTGAATGAACATTATTATATGCTGATATTACCCATAAGAGAGACACCCGGGTCTCAACCTACTTCGACTTACCGAGACACTCCAGTGGAAATCTTGACTGTCAAATAATCAAACAACTTGGTACAAACCATAGAGGTGTGTATATATTGACTAGAGTGTATTGTGGTCACGTGATCCCCATTGACGTAACGTTAAAGCCGTGGGCCGTCACGTCACACTCTCCGCCGGACAATGATAATGACACTGAACTTGCAAATTTATTCTCTGATTTCTTTCAAATAAAAATACAGAAAATACGAACTGAACTTGATGATTTAAATAAAACTATTGACTTTAACGCTCATGATTTTGATAAGTTAGAAAATTCTATTTATTTACAAAATGTTAACTTGGTTAGTGAATCTTTTGTTTTAAAGCTGCTCCTAAATCTTGTTCATTAGATCCTGTTCCGACTTCTGTTCTTAAGGACTGTATTCGGTATTTGTGGCTCTGCATTAAATCTTTTAGAAAGCCATCTTGTGCGTGGAAAACAGTGTGTTTTAGTTAATTGAAAATCGTCGTCTGAATCTGTTTTGTCATCTGGGGTTCCCCAAGGTTCTGTTCTTGGTCTGATTTTATTTACTCTCTATATGTCACCATTAGGCGATATGGTCAGAAAATATGGTCTCAGCTTTCATTTGTATGCCGATGATACTCATTTATATATTTCATTTACACCTTATTGTCCATCTTCTTTCAATTTATCAAAATTGCAACTTGAGAACTGTATTAGTGAAATTAGAAAATGAATGTCAAAGAACTTTCTAAAATTGAATGATGATAAAACCGAATATTTGTTATTAGGCTCAAGGCATCAATTAAGTAAATCTGCACATGATAACCCCCCTGTTATAATTGGTAATTGTGATATATTTTCATCTTATTTTGCTCGTAATATTGGCGCAATCTTTGATAGTTTTATGCTTATGGGAGCTCAAGTCAATAATATTTGTAAATTGTGCTATTTTAATATTAGAAATATAGGTAAAATACGTAAATGTGTAACTGTAGAGGCCACTAAGTCACTTGTTAATTCTCTGGTCACTTCTCGATTAGATAACTTTAATTCACTTTTAGTTGGTTTACCTTTAAAGCTTATAGATAAATTACAAAAAGTACAGAATACTGCGGCTAGACTTGTTACTTCAACTAAGAAATGTGACTACATAACTCCTGTTTTATATAATTTACACTTGTTACCTGTTAAATATCGAATTGATTTTAAGATTTTATTACTTACTTTTAAATGTTTAAATAATTTAGCTCCTGTTTACCTCTCAGATCTTTTAGAATGTTGTACACCTGGCCGAACATTACGTACATCAGATAAACTACTTTTAAAGCCCAAAACTGTTCAACTAGTCTCTTATGGTCAGCGCTCTTTTAGTTATCAAGCACCTGTTTTATGGAATAATCTACCATTTAGTTTAAGATGTTGTACATCTCTATATTCTTTTAAAAAACAACTTAAAACACATTTATTTAATCAGGCTTTTAACTGACTCTGTATACAATCCTTAATATGTCCATAATCTTGTTGTTTATGTATGATTTACATTGTCACTTTGTAAAGTGCCCCTGAACATGTTATATGAAAGGGTGCACTATAAATATGCTGTAATAATAATAATAATAATAACACCTATTGATGATACAATAGGTGAATTTATTTAAGCAAAATACATTATCCATCTCTAATAATTACTTCCCTCATTGATTCTAACACCTATTACAAAAGAAAGGGAACAAAACAAATTATACAGAAAAAAGTGACAGCTGTATATTTACATTAGCAATGTAGCCTAGATTATCAAGGACAAACAGTTATCTCCCCTTGAATGTTCTAGGCTAACAGGTGTCTCTCCTCACATACTTCCTCTTTGAAGGAACACTCCTGAGAGAAGGATCTAAAGTAATTTCCATGTTCAATTGTGAGTCAAGAATAAAAAATACAGTGAAGTAACTTGACTTATGGAAAGGAATGATGTCTCCTTTAGTGACAGGGTCTATTTTGATTCAATTTTAGGGCGCAGTTTTGTAGGATGGCTTGGATTTGAAACATCTAGTAGAATCCCTAGAAGTCACATGATGTAACATATTTGCATTTTGCTAACCATGTGTGCATATATTTAATAGGCCTTGTAGGGCCTATACAGCCACAGGACTTCTACTTGTTAGGTTAGGCCTCTTTGTTACGTGTGTCAAGATGACACTACAGAATAGTGAGGCTATTAATAGAATACTAATGATAATATTGAGAAGGTCCATTCTTGACCTTGTCTTGCTTTGTCTTGTCTGTGTGGAGTTACCCGAGACTGAGTTCATTAATAGTATGTAAACGCTAGGCCTAAACAACTGTCAGTAATGAGTAAGAACCCACTGGCTCTGAACTATGACGGGCGGATGCGGTCACAATGGGCCATTTATATGACTTACTAATTCCATTTATATGACTTACTAATTCCATTTATATGACTTACTAATTCCATTTATATGACTTACTAATTCCATTTATAAAGCTTTATAATTAATTACTTACTTAGGCACGTATGGACGCTGAAACCCATCGAAATGGGTGACTGAATTGAATATTATTTTCATAGTTTGATAAATAATTATGAAACTACGTAATTATTTATCAAGTCTTATAAATCCATTTATATAACTTAGAAAATAATCGGCAATCTCCGTACTCCTTCGTTGAGTCGGCCAATTGGCCAATCAAATCCCTCATTACATATAGCGGTGTTTTACCTTTCATGGCCGCTATTGTAAACATAAAATGACGAGAATAAGTTTTATGCATGTTTTAGTTATCCTAGCGTCAATTTACTTTGCTAAGGTCACCGCTCCCCCTCCACCCACCGACCGGGGTAGTTCTTTTCACAATTTCTTGCGAGTTTGCCGAAATATCATGTCAGATGTTGTGAGGAGTCTTGATTCTTCGGTGGATCATGTCGCAATGCAGCATAGGCTACAGGCAGTTGCCAACAACTTAGTTCGTACTACCATTGATCATGATGAATGTGCCGAAATATTGGACTTGGTTCAAACCATGATGCAGGATTTACATCTGGAGAGGCAAGTATTGCATTTTTGTATGTTTATGTTGGCCTGTAGGCCATACATAGGCCTAGGCCTTGAGCCCTAGGCTAGAGGCCTACTTATATAGGAATTATAGGACAGAACATGTACTATTATATTAAAAAGAAGCAGATAAATCTTTGTCATATTACCGAATGCGTATTGCCCCTTCGCTATCCCGTTCCGCCGAGAAATCCCCCAAGAACATTCTCGCTCGCGTATGCCAATGGGCTCGGTGGAACTTGATAGCGAAAACTCACTATTGACTATTGAGGTTGCTGATGCTCATGTTTTATTCATTTTCAGGGTATCTGGAGACGAAGTGGATGGTTTTCAAACACAGCGTGCAAGTAATAGGAATGTTGGGCCTTCGTCTTATGCAATCACAAGGCAGCAGTTGGAGTATCTGTTTGACCTGGATTTCTCTGTTCCACTAATTGCATCGATGCTGCATGTGTCCATCGATGCTGCATGTGTCCATATCAACAATACGTCGGCGACTTCGGTATGCATATCACAATAGTATCTTAGTTAAATACAAAATATAACTATCCTATGTCTTGACATGAGTGTTGCATTGAACCCCTCGCGGCTACAATACAATATGGTACGGCTTAACCCGCTGACCCATAGAGGATTTCCTTTATGATTCAATGGTTGGCACTGTAGCCTAATTATAAAGCTAGTTAAGCAATTGCCAATGTCGATTGGGGTCGGCCAATGGAGTGGTGACCTGCGACGAAACTATACAAGTGTTGTCTGGTGGTATAGATTGTGCTGTCACGTGAACTTCACATCAGCCCGGCCCTCTTATGGTTAGTACTACCATAATATATTAGCATAGGCATTTTAACTGATATATTATAGGCCTATAAGTTGTAGTATAAGACATTTACAGGTAGTGTAATTCAGGGAACTTTAAGTAATATAGTATGAAGTTGAAGTTCCTGTTTCATGCTATTTTGGGGTGTTATAGCAGCGTTCATTTATGATTATTTAATAATGCTCAATTTTGTACTCTTTGTTGATATTTCAGGTTTTTTCAACTGTCTTACAGACAACGACGTACTACAATGGCAGACCATGAACTGGATAATATAGTTCGTCCTATGTGCCGTAGTAATAGGCACCTTGGTTACAGATCAGTCAATGCACGGTTGGTGAGCGATGGGGTATACACTACGAGGCAACGGGTCAGAGAAAGCATGCTAAGGGTCGATCCATCCTCTTTGGCTCTCCGCTGGTGTCGTACAGTACAAAGAAGGACTTACAAAGTGTCTGGGCCTAATAGTCTTTGGCATATCGATGGAAATCACAAATTGATCAGGTATTATAATTTGTCATTATTGATAATTTTTATACGCCCACACGATAGTATGGGCGTATATTGTAATCGCCCCTGACGGTCCGTCGGTCCACAATTACCTCGTGCTCACTCTACAGGCTACAATTCTTCATGGATTCTTTTGAGATTTATTGTGTGTGTCAATATCTCCATGAAGATGATTCCTATTGATTTTGGTGAGGATCTGATAATTTATCTCCGAAATATTGCATAAAACTCTGAAATCGCGTTCATTTCTCAGTTTACATTTGGCTCGTGCTCACTCTACAGGCTACAATTCTTCATGGATCCATCTGAGTTTTATATTGTAAGTCAATATTATTATGAAGATGATCCCTATTGATTTTGGTGACAATCCGATAATTTATTGCCCAGATATCGCATCAAACTCAGAAATCGCGTTCGTTTTACAGTTCACATTTGGCTCATGCTCACTCTACAGGCTACAATTCTTCATGGATTCCTTTGAGATTTATTGTGTGTGTCAACATTATCATGAAGATGATCCCTATTGATTTTGGTGACGATCCGATAATTTATCTCTGAGATATCGCATAAAACTCTGAAATCACGTTTGTTTGTCAGTTTACATTTGGCTCGTGCTCACTCTACAGGTTACAATTCATCATGGATTTATTTGAGTTTTATATTGTAATTCAATATCATTGATCCGATTATTTGTCTCTGCGATATCGCATCAAATTTTGAAATCGCATTTGTTCTACAGTTCCCATTTGACTTGTGCTCACCCTACAGGCTACAATTCTTCATGGATGCTTTTGAGTTTTATATTGTGAGTCAATATCATTATGAAGAGGATCCCTATCGATTTTGGTGACGATCCGATAATTTGTCTCTGCGATATCGCATCAAATTTTGAAATCGCGTTCGTTTTACAGTTCCCATTTGGCTCGTGCTCACTCTACAGACTACAATTCTTCATGGATTCTTTTATTGTAAGTCAATATCATTATGAAGAGGATCCCTGTTGATTTTGGTGACGATCCGATAATTTGTCTCTGCGATATCGCATTAAATTTTGAAATCGCATTCGATTGATAGTTCCCATTTGGCTTGTGCTCACTCTACAGGCTACAATTCTGCATGGATGCTTTTGAGTTTTATATTGTGAGTAAATATCATTATGAAGATGATCCCTATTGATTTTGGTGACGATCCGTTAATTTATCTTTGCTATATCGCATCAAACTCTGATATTGCGTTTCGTTTTACAGTTCATATTTGGCTCTACTCACCCTACAGGCTACAATTCATCATGGATTCTTTTGAGTTTTATATCGTGAGTCAATATCATTATGAAGAGGATCCCTATTGATTTTTGTGACGATCCGATAATTTGTCTCTGCGATATCGCATTAATGTGACTATCAAAGCTGCTGGTGGGCGTATCTCACCTTGCTTGGCAAGGCTATCTTTTAAAACAGAATTATAAGCCAGGTAAATCCTCCCTCTGTTCCCCCTTTAAGTATGTTATTTTAATTGAATGAAAAATTTGACTTTTGATAATATGCTATCATCTCTTTAATCTGTAGACTGTCTTATTATTTGCTGCATGTACATGATTGTGATATGAGGTATAGTTGTATAATATTAATAGAGCAACTGTTCTTTTTTTCAGGTGGGGTTTTGTGTTTCACGGTGGCATCGATGGATTTAGTCGATTGATAGTTTTTCTTACCGTTTCTTGTGACAACCGAGCAGAAACCGTTTTTTCATCATTTCTGCAAGCAACAGCCAGGTTCGGAACCCCCTCACGTGTAAGGGCAGACTGTGGGAGTGAAAATAATGAAGTTGAAAATTATATGAATATTTATCGTGGAAGTTTGATTCGAGGAGATCAGTGCACAATCAACGCATTGAGCGGTTTTGGCTCGATTTGTACTTCGGATGCACTAATGTATACTATGACCTGTTCTATTACTTAGAAGATATTGGTCTTTTAGATGTTAACAACGAAATGTACAGGTGGTGCTTGCATTATGTGTTTAGACCTCGAATTGCTAGGTCAGTTGAAATTTTCCAGAGGCAGTGGAACCGCCATCGTTTGTGTTCTGCCCGTGGTAGATCCCCTTTGCAACTATATGTTGAAGGTGTTTTAAGACTCCATGGTTCTGGCAGGCAACACATATCCGAGTTGTTTTTTTATCCAGGTCATGGTGAGGACATCAATCAAGCACATATTCCAGTTTATGGTGTAGATTGGAATGGTCCTACACCTCTGGTGAATGACAATGACACCCGCTTGAATGATATTCCTTGCCCATTGAGTGATGATCAATTGGAGCAGTTACAAGCTACCGTGTTGCCTTTAAGTGAATCTGTTGATGGTCGTGCAATAGACTTGTATTTACACACCCTTCGTTTTGTTGGCTCAGCTGACGATGGTCAGCAAAGCTAATCAAATTATTACACAACAGGTTGAGCATGCTAATTGAATCCTCTCAACTGTGACAGCTTTACCTATATCTTTAAAATGTGGCACATCATTGGTGACACTGATCCTGCCTGGGCTGAAGACTGGCATGTGATTTGAATGGCCCAGTCACAGATGATTGCCTGGGTCTTTTTTATACGCCCACATTTTCACGTATTATGCCGTCGCCCCTGTCCGTCCGGACGTCTGTCTGTCTGTCCGTCCATCCGTCCGTCCGTCCACAATTATTTGTGGACTCTCTACAGGTCACAATTCTTATCCGATTTTGACGAAACTTGAAATATAGGTTTATCCCCAAAAGATCTCGGCTGCTTTCGATATTGGCATGTATCGGATCGAAACTTCATGGATTATGGCCCCTGATTGTACGAAAAATCACGTTTTTAGCTTGTGGACCCTATAGAGGTCACAATTTTTATCCGATTTTGTTGAAACTTGAAATGTAAGTTTATAACCCAAAGATCTCGGTTCCTTTCGATATTCGCGTATATCGGACCCTAACTTCCTGAATTATAGCCCCTGATTGTACGAAAAAACACGTTTTTAGTTTGTGGACCCTATAGAGGTCATAATTTTTATCCGATTTAAAAAAAACGTATTATTATATCACCGTTACACCCTAAGGACGACTGAGTTCGAATTTCGTGAAAATTGGCCCAAAACTGACAGACAAAATGGCCGCCCCTTGTTCTCAAATAGCGTAAAAATATGGTATATCAAGGTTGTGGACCCTATAGAGGTCACAATTTTTATCCGATTGAAACTTGAAGTGTAAGTTTATAACTCAAAGATCTTGGTTCCTTTCGATATTTGCGCATATCGAATTATAATTTCCTGAATTATGGCCCTTGATTGTAGGAAATCCATCTCTCGAAAATGTGGGCGTATACTGCCTGGCAGCCGCTGGTTTATTCTGATTTCACCATACAAAATCCTATTTTCTACTGGTGAAGATTTTTTTTGAAAAAAGCAATTCATATTGAAATTATTCAACTTTAAAATCTACACTGTATGTTTTAACACCCTGTACAATTATCAACCTCCCTCCTTGCAGGTAAGCTAAATATCTGGACCAAGTGACCAATGAATATGTATAGAACCGATTTGCCTCCAGGTTTTGTGGGGATGTTGTTGATTCAAATTATATTTTGACGTTTGAAGTTGCGCTAGGTATTTTCGGGAAGGTAATCCAGCATGGCGTCCCTGTGGGTGTCATTCCTGCGGGTTAATTCCTGCAGTTTAGGATGACGTTAGAAAGAATATTGTTGCCTCTGTGACAGATATATGTATTGATTTGGATGTCCAGACTGGTGTGAAGTGAACATGTGAGTTTTGATGAGGTTTTAGCTGTGATAAGAGACTAATATGAACACAGGACCCATGCTGGACTGGGGACGGTTTAGTTCTGGAATCTATCGGCAGGTGGCAGTAGCTGACGGCTAGAGTATTATGTCATACTCATAGTATAAGTGGTCTGACTAGCTTCCTCTAGACTAATTTAGCCAAGGTTCAGAGCATTTAGTAAGTCAGTAAGGAATTAATTACTGTGTTAGATACGATATGGGATGTGATAAGGTCCAGATGTAAAACAACTTTGACAATTTTATTGTTCATGTACAAATGTACTGTATGCTTTCGAATAGGGCAGAGAATACCTAAATATCTATAGGCTGTTTCCAGTTTGTTGAGTCTAGGGATTTTGACTTTTGGGAATTCGATGCAGCCTGCGAGATACTCGATGTGGTGGTTGGTGATTAACCCTCTTTGGGCTGTTAGTACCGTTGTTTATGTATACTCTGTTTCACTTTGTACACTTGGTAACATGCTGTGTTACAAAATAATTGTACATGTAAGGCTTATGCCACTTTGATAAATAAACCTAATTTGTTTACCCTCTCGCTTTGTACAATTATCTCCCTCCGCGTCCCACCTTGCAGGTTCAACTTATGAATACCCTGTGCCCAGGGTAACACAGACATGACCCAAATACATGTATACTGTAATTTTTTCTTCATTGCACCTTATAAACTCAATAAGTGCATGCCCTGATGATCTCCCTTGCTCTGATCAATTTCACAAACATTACAAGACTGTTCAATTGACCTCTTAGAAGTGAGCTTACGGTACTGAAGTATCTGTTGGGAGCGGTCGCGACCTTGTAGAATGGCAGCACCATATGTGCAATGATGTATTCCACTTGTATGCTGGTGCTGCCATCTACAAGGTCATGACCGCTCCTAACATATACTTCAGTATGTATGCTCTTAATGTGCCACGGATTATAAAAAGTGGGGATTCGTTTTTAAGGGACTGGAGTAAACATGTGGATACAGAAATATAGTTTCTCTTCGGGAGACTCAAGGCAAATTCCCCCAAATATTTTTCTAGTGGAAACCCTGTTATCATGGTTATACAGGGAGAGTCAATAAAATGGTAATCCAAAAGTAAACTGTTAATGTTTAAAGAATATGTATTCCCCAGCTAAATGAGCATTTGCATCGTAAGGTAGAGGCTATGACCGTCCCAAGCATATCATGGTTGCATTTCTGGGGTCACGGATGACTCGGTACCGTTGCCCTGAACTTGACATGCAAAAATCACCACTTCAGACTTCTTCATTAATTTCGGATTACATATTACAGTTAGGCCAGGGCTCACTCCATGACAGTCATCCAAATAACCATCAAAATCAGGCACAAAACTATCGTCACAAAAATAATTGTCACTTCTGTGTTCCGACCCATCATCTGAAAAGTCGTAATCCCCATAAAAAATCACAAAAAATCTCAAAAACATTGCTTCTATTGAACATACTTTCGAAGTTTTGATTGAACTTGACCACATCTCAAACACTGCTGGTTACATCAGGGAGGAATCCCAACCAGGACCTAACATTTTCCAAACCCAGCAGCCAATCCAAGTTTGATCGCAAGGTTCATTTGTGACTCGAACTCTTCAGACTTGTCCATATCCAAGCCTCTCGGTAGAAAAAAGTCCAATGCACAGGTGGATGCATAGGGAAGGCGCTTGTCCTTCTCCCGATCAAATCGTTATCTGTTTTCCGAATCCATTGGGAGGGATGGTATCAGCCCCGGTCATAAATGTCAGAATGTTTCTTAGAGTAACGTCTGTCTCCGCTGCCCCATCTGTGGATTAAAAATATCATAGAATTGTTAAAATGTTAAGTTATTCCACTATCAATTCTTATCACCCTGGTATCAATTCATAGAAGCCACGCATCAACTTCAATTCATCACATATGAATACCGAGTGGTCAAAGAGTCCAAAGCTGTATGACCCCTTTCATCTGGATTGTCAACGTGAAGAGGCCAGAGATGTGTGAAGGATGATTACATACTTAGCTCTGCAAAAAGTATTGCACATCCCATAAGAAGAAGATGTATTCTTCAAAAGGGAGCTCTCCAGGCCTCTAGTTAATAGTTCTAGCAATAGCATTAATGTTGTAAAACATTGAAACTCCTTAAGATCGTTTGTAGAAGATTTATTCTTCCAACAGATAAAAATCAAGTAAATGTCTTTTATGGAGGACTTGAACATGGAATTGATCAAATGTTGTAACTACAAATCCAGCATAATCTATACAAATCTGGCAAAAGCATGTGGCTGGTCTAAATTACCTTACATTCGCACCTAGCTCAGGTGATTTATCATTAATTAGTTGCTTTGATTGCATAATCATTGCTGTAATGCTGGGAGAAAAGCAATTTTGATGGCAGATATAGCAAGAAAAACATCATGCAAACCTAATATAAGAGGATGTGGTAATCACTATGCTTTTATAAATGCACTATATAAAACCAAATTCAAGGCACAGGTTTACTTACTTTCTAACTCCACTAAGAATTGTTCAAACAAGTAAATCGTGTTGTCCTCCATCTCCCTCAGCCCTTCGACATTAGACTTTTCATATTCGAAAAAGCTGCTCAAAAGTCAGCTTTCTGTCAGATGACGCCATTATGGATTTAAAATCCCTGGGGTTCCTCATTATGTATTTGGTGAATAACTCGCCAATACTATCCATCCCTTTTATAAATTGATCCACCCCAGCACGGACCCTGAATGAAAAAAATAATCTTCTGAAAACCAGCATGATAAATATGAAATATGCGATCAAGTACCAACCATATGAGATAGTAATATTATCAACATTAAGCACATCTTAACCAAGTTATGCACTTTTTTGTAGATTTAATAGGGACAGCTTATGGACAATGAAAAAGAATTTAAATTACTTCAAAATTAATGTTGTCTGCAATAAATTCACCATGTATGTAGCATAGCTATGGGAAGACTAACAAAGACAGACAATGCATCAAGGCCCACCATGAACACTTCTTTTTAAAATTATTATGAAACCAAGATGCCAAGAACTTGCCTTGAAAGGCTTTCATATGCCTTGACTGGCTTTCAAGATACTTTTGATACTACTTATTAATTTTTTTATGCTAGCCCATAGGAAGCATAATCGAGTGGCACAAGCATCAATTGGAGTATATAACAAACTCTATCCTGTCTTAGAAAGACACACAAGTATTCCAACCGAATGAAAAGTTGACGAACTCATTTAGATAAATAAAAAGGATTAAATGCAAAAACATACACCATATTTAACATCCACTTGGAAAATTGTACAAATATGAAAGACCCATGACAATTTCAAAAGTTGTCTGGTTTATGTATATAACAGAATTTAAAATAACAGTCACGTCTAGTCCAATACACATAACTATACTGCAACATCCTTAATCTCTAAATTCAATTGAGCTTAACAAGAAGATTCATACATCAAGGAATACAATGTAACTGCAACAAAGCCATATGATGCAAGGTCAGCCAAACTTCAAGGAACTAGAGAAACCATACAAAAAACTGAGATAGTAATGAAAACCCTATCTTAACGCTCAAAGGGTGTACCTTATCGAGGTTGATATAAGCTGTGGCATCCGGGATTTCACTGATATCATCAGAATCGCCCTCCACATCCATCCTCGTCATTAGATGCCATACTGATGGACTTAGGTATTGCAGTCCATTTCCACCATGTAAGAGGCTCCAGGACACGAACTGACCAGCCTTGAAATATTGGTTGCTGTCAGCCGCCTCGTTATCGAGAAGGAAGGATTTCTTCTCGTCATGGCCCCCCAAAAGACCGCTATTCTTGAGGATGTCCTCCATCAAAGGCTGACAATAAAAGAGAAGGAACATACATGTACTCCAAAATTAAGCAACATACAGAGTGGTCTGAACGGCATACTTCCCCTATCTTAATATTAAAACTACTCGTGTAGATACTGAAGACAATAACAGATGCCTTTTCTGACACATACATTCCAATGTATTTAGGACACGAAAACAGTGGTGAACTATGGGCTGACAAACTCTACATAATCATGTCGGTGCTAATTATCAGTTAGAACCATCAAGGAAATCACTCATGGTTATCAATGTTTTATCAATGGTTGTCTCCACCTCTCCACCAACCAGTCTTTGGAATTCGTGAAATTAAAGTTAAAAAGCTCCATCATCTACAAAAATTTGCCTTGCAGACAGACACTTTTTAAACCATCTGACCTGTTTTAACTAAAGTAGGCGGAATAATCAAACCATGACTTTTTGATGTATAAGGTACCCACCAATTTAGAACAGTCAGAGTCTAGGTTAAATAGTAACAAAATGTATTAGTTCGTGGAATCCTAAACCCGGGTATTATGTGTTGTAGTCTCATCAGAGCAACATACCATAAATATTTGTAAGTTCTATCTGGCAACGTTACGGAGCACAAAGCACCATCTACAGGAAAGAATTTAAATCAAATATTACAGTATTACACGCATGTTAATCTGCATTATCCTATTTTTAATTATCTACATGTGCTGCAGCTTACCGAAAAAACTCACGGGTGGGACCTCCATAATCCTCGGCCTCCTCACCAGCAAACCTCACCCGAGGAATCCAGGAAAAGTGAAAAGTGCCCCTTGTTGCACGGAGAGAACTTTTCCACACAGCAGATCTTCTGATGATAACCGACTGTTTTTTGTCTCCAGTTGGTTCTCTCGTTGCCATTATGAAGCTGACAATTAAATCCTCTGCTGACTTGACTTCCGGTTCACTTCTCAGGGACTCCGCGAGGGCAGCTATCAGGTCAGCATCATCATGGGGTGTGCTAAAGGCAAAAATGAGTACCGGTAATAACATTCATCAAAACCAAAATGTCAGAATAAACCAGAACTGACATAATAGCATCATCTTTTGATGCCAACATTCAATAAACTGCATTTTTTGATGTCAGTATAACAACAGTAATAATTAACAGGAATGATAACAAATAGCATTATTATGGCCATCCAAAAAGTATTTACAACCGTTGAACCTGCCCTTTAAAGACTATCATATTAGTTGAGCTAGAAATTACTTACACATCCAATATCTGCCCTTCATCTGGATCAGGAACCATTGGGGTAAACTCTGATGAAATATCTCCATCCTTAAACAGAGAGAGAAAAAATCAGTTTCATGAACCATGCACATAAATACAACAATTGTACAGAAATTATCCATACAATTATCCAGTTTTGTGAGAACAACATTTGGTAATTAATAGTGGGAGTCAAGGAACCCATAGTTTTTTGCTTCAAATGCGGTACCAAATGCTCCCTCCATTCACTAGGGGAATTCCTCAAAAAATGTGTCATAAAAAATGACTCACCAAGTTTATCTGGCATTAATCTGGGATCACTCATCACTTTCGCTTAAATTAGCCTCATAACTTTTCATCCAACCCTAATACTAGTCAGCTAAGAAATACTAACCAAATGGTCTGTAGCTACAGCTGACAGGAGATTTTGTGTCACAGATGTAACTCCTCTTCTGGGTCTTCGTAATAACACCTGGAATAAAAGTCATAAAATCATGATGTTAAAAAAAGGTAATCTCTCCATACATAGGACCTCAACCGAGTCTCAATTCATCCTACAGCAAGAGGATGGAATTTTCTAGTAATTTCATTAGCACTGACAGGGCCAATAGTTTATTTTGTTTTCATATCATATGCAACCAATGTAAGAGGCCATACTTCTGGTATTTTCAGGACCTCCTCCCCGTAGGCTTGGCAGGAGATCGTCAGCCAAGTTCTAAGTATTGCCGCCCTTTTAGCGTGGAGTGTCCTTATCTACAGTGTGGCATATGAATTCAATTTCGATAACCAGTAAGATTGGGATGGCTGATGTAGACAGTGTAGGTTTATAAGGGCCACTGGAACGTGAAAAAAGGGACCATAACCATGATGTTAACATTTTTCAGAGAGCGCCTACCCCCTCCAGCGTAGGCGTATGTACACAAAATGGGCCGAAATTTTCAGTCTCCCCTTGTGCAAACGTAAAGTATGGCCCCTTCAGTTCGTTTTTATTTTCCATCATTGTGGTGCATTATTAGTTGTCTTGCAATCCCATCCAAAATGTCCAGGTTTACACCAAGTCCAGGGGCCTGATTCACCAAGCCTCCGTAACGGCTTGCATTTCCGCAAGAGCTCCGTAACGACTTGCGTGATATTCACAGAGCCACCTTAAAGTTGGGCATCCGAAGAATGGTCCGCAAACTGATCATTTTCAACGGCGACCAAGGACTTACCGCAAATCTTGCGAATACCCCAAAAGCACTCTGACAAAGAACCATGGGGGAAATATTTAAAAAAGTTACTTACTGTTGGTGTATCAGCTGGTTCATATGTGAACTGGGTTTCCCCCTGGAAGAAGAAGAGGGTACATTGTATGACCTAATCAGATACTGTAAAACATCGCGAATGGGGAAACAAGTTATTTCGCCAGATAAGGCGATTATTTTGTTTAAAGCTAAATTTAAGATGTTTAGGCGACACTCTATTTATACCTTGTTTTATAGCAAATAAAATCTTATTCTTAATTTTTTTCTGACCACCGCTAAAAAAACCAGTGAAAATAAGTGCGCTAAACAAGGTATGAATAAAGTCTCGCCTTATCCTTGAATCGAGCTACAGCTAATTCGATTGCACCTTTCACTCCGTTAGATCAATTCAACCTTCATAAGTATGTAAAATGTCATGAATCAAATCAGATTCAAAATTTGGTCTTTCAGATAGTTTTCACAATACATTTAATACCTGCACACAACTTTTAAATTTTCTTGACCAAGCAATTAAAGAGAATGGGTCTGAGTTTGGTTTCATCCTTAGTGGCAAAATTATTGCCAAATTATTGCCAAAATCAATTATAGACAGTATGGCACTAAACTGGCAATCATAACGCCATATCAGCCTTGAAGTTGTCTTAGACTATTCATTTCTGGTGAGAACCCTCTACCACAAGTAATTGGCCTTAGATTTTCCGGCCATTTCTATATGAGGTGCTAGTAAAATATATTGCCATCCAGGACCCTTCTCAGGACGTGCAACCCCTGTTCATGACAGACGACCTGTTATGGCATAGGCATGTTCACCACAGGTGAGCCAAAAATCTCATGTGGATTGCTACTGTTTTTATGAAATTACCGTGGAGGAAGCAGGATCTGACAGTTGAGTGTCAATGATAGGATGTCCAATTACTGGTAAAATATCTGGTAAAGTGTCATTCCAGGAAGGCACTTGTCAAAGAAAAACCATGTATGAAATATTTAGTTATAGAGCATAAAAATCAGGACCAAAAAAATTATGACCCGGAAGCAAAAACATATTGATGTGAGTGTATTTTCCCTAGTTCCGCCACGACAAGGATCAACATTGGTAAATTTTCGATCATGAAATAATACCAACTATTACAATCACAGTCAATATTTAAGATGATATTCATATCTGGAGTCATAATACAATTTTCTCATCCACTTGAACGAAAAGTACTAATGTTATTTTCCCTATTTGAATACACAATACTATTTTCTCCATAAGTTTCTGGCATGTAACTTTTTTCCGATACCATGATTGTGTTGCAAGATCGGCTTCTGTTCATTGCATGAAGGGAGGACACATTAATGAATTACTTTTGTAGAAATCTATTTTTTCAACTAGTGTTGTCCATCTAGATGTCTTATAAGTGATTATTACTCTCAATATTCTGACATCTTAATTTTCATTTGTAACTGCAGTTAACCTCAACAAATTTACAGGGAAACATTTTCCCTCTAAAATGCACAATCATTGAATGATTTAATAATTTAATTAAAAAAATTGTTGTGTTTTCACCACTTAAATGTCATCAAAATGTTGGAAAATTCCCCATCTGCCGATATTGGAATAAGCAATAGTGCTTACAATGGCAAATATGTTTTGAATGTATGAATAAATCTGAATCAAAGTTTGATAAAAAAAATGTTACTAATAATTTCGTTGATTACAATTTAATTACATGTAGATACCTCTGTGCTAAGGGTGAAACAGTTGATAATATCTGCCAATCTGGTACTCAAAAGAAAGGCAAAGCAACATACCTGATTAGGTGACGTAACTAAGGCTGGACGATTTGGCTGACTAGAAGTAGGTATTGCTGAAGCTGACTGCAAAATGAAAATAAGAACAGGATTGGTAATAACAGGTGCAACATGCAGCTATTAGGCCCCTGAACTTTAAATTCGCATCCACTCCCATCAAATGCGTACACACCAAAATGAATTTAAACAAATACAGTCCTGAATTCAAAGTGCAATAAATAAGAGATGTTTTGAACTTTCAGCCCACATAGACATTCCCATCTCCATAAAATGCAATTTTACCTGATTGGGTGCTGCGCCTTGAGTTGATAGTTGACGCTCAGCTGAAATGTTGGGGGGGGGGGGAGAGACCACTCACACCTTGGGCCATATTGTTTTGACAGAATCCCTCCCAGTATTTCCCCTTCATATCTATGTGGTGTTTATATTTCAGTATACACATGTAGTCAAATAGACCGAAAAGTACCTTTAGTACCTCTGGTAAATTGTGCTGTAAAGCCGGATGGAAAAGGTAATTACAAACAAGAGGTCCATGGGCCTGGACGCTCAGCTGAAATGTCAGGGGGAGACTTGGGCCATATTGTTTTGACAGAAACCCTCCCAGTATTTCCCATCAAATCCATGTGGTGTTTATATTTCAGTATGTAGGGGTTGGGGTTAGGGTTAGTCAAATAGACTGAATAGTACCTTTAGTACCTCTGGTAAATCGTGCTGTAAAGCCGGATGGAAAGGGTAATTACAAACAAGAGGTCCATGGGCCTGGACGCTCAGCTGAAATGTCAGGGGGAGACTTGGGCCATATTGTTTTGACAGAAACCCTCCAAGTATTTCCCATCAAATCCATGTGGTGTTTATATTTCAGTATTGTTGACAAGAACTTGTCATCTAAGTGATATTTTCTAATTCAGTACGACACCATTTGGGACCAAGGAAAAGGTGTCTTTGAGAAATGTTGACTTACACATGGCTATTTGAATGAAGAGTATTTTTTGAATGTATGAATAAATCTGAATCAAAGTTTGAAAATAAAATGTTACTACAGTAATAGTTCCTTTGATTTAATTAAGGGTGAGGCAGTTTAAAATGTATGGTACTCAAAAGAAAGGCAAAGCAACATACCTGATTAGGTGACATAACCAGGGCTGGACGATTTGGCTGACTAAAAGTAGGTATTGCTGAAGCTGACTGCAAAATGAAAATAAGAACAGGATTGTTAACAGTTGCAACATACAGCAAAAGATTTTAGAGTAGGTGGGGGCAACCCAAGGAGTAGATGGGACAACCTTTCGTGGTTTGTCCAATATCTGGGGCACAAAATGCTACAGTGGGGGGGGGGGGGAAGGGTGATGAATTTTAGCTTAGAGAAAAAGATTTAAGGCCTGAGGTAGGCCTTATGCTAAGTACAGCACCGACTAAACGAAGCTTCTTGGCATGCCCCCAAAATGTGTCCCAAAAAAATCAGGTGGCGGCAGACATGGCAGAAGTCGGCGATTTGCCGCCGGCTACTTTTGAAGGGCCTGGCTTTTTGGCCACGCCCCCTCCTCTCAAACTAATGTTCATTACTCAGTTCCAGTTACAAGATGTCGTTGGGGACCCAAAATATTTTTCGTGATACATGTAGCCACATACCGACAAGAATTTGTGTACAACGTGCTTTGAAATTATTTCTATAACATTCAAAACAATCTCTCATCATTTGAAATCAATTGCCTGCGCAATAAAAATGCTCTGAAGTCACGAGGCTTATCTATTAGCCCACAGACCCACTCCCAACCCCATAAAAAGCAATTTTACCTGATTTGGTGCTGTGTCTTCAGTTGATAGTTGAGGCGGCCGACTAATGGTGGAAGTACATGTACGTGTTGACGTTACAAGGGCTGGACGGTTTGGCCTTCTGGCAGTGGAAGTACTGGCAAAAGCAGACTGCAAAAAATATTTGTACGTGTGAAATGATTGACTTACACATGGCTATATAAAGTGCCTTAAATGGGGCCAAGACATAGGTGTTGACTTGTGGACTGTTGGCTTAGGCAGAGTCAATTTCCTTTGCCTGGATAAACCCACATTATTTAAATACCAAATGCATATGAAAATTACAGAATAATGGTTGAAACATACTTACATCAAATTTGCACCCAGTATAAAGAACAGCATCCTGCAATGACAAAAGACCACCTTCTAACGTCTGTCACATAGAACACAAATTTTCATGGGAGTACCATGAAACAGAAAAGCTATGATTGAAGAGCATGGCAATTTGCTACCTGCAGTTTTTAGTTTTAGCAGTATTTCAGTAAGGTGATACATAATTTTTACAACATATTGTGTATGACCTGGCAATGGCAGGCCTTGACCTACTTTCAACGGCAAAATTAAGTCTGCTTTATGGATTTATAGGCGGCCACCAAGAAACGAATATGGAGTAACCTTGACTCAACCTATTGCAAAAGACAGACAGGCTGCTTCCATAGGCCAAATAACTTTTATATTTTAAAAGTTTTCAGCTATGTTTGGTTTCAATTTCAATGAAATATGAAACTTACCGAATAACTGTCAACTTGACATGTGGCCTCAGGTACACACTGCACACATGCTTATTGGTTTTGAAGAATGTCTTGATACCCATGGGTGTGCGTTCAGCAAAGGGGAAGAGAATTTTTGATTTTGTCGCATAGAGCATATCAATTGGCACTGTCCCCAAGAGAGGAAATAGTACCCAAAGGAACTGATCGAACTGCTCGGAATTCAGGTCCAGCGGAATCTCTGTGCCGACCCTTCCTGTAACCGAAATTTCATCACTCGGATAGCCTAAAGATAATAAAGGTAAAAAAGCTATATATATAAATATATGTAAGCAATGGAACAATTCACTGACAAACATGTAAGAGGCCACTTAAGTCACAAGCATACTGAAGAATAGAGACTTTTGGCAAGCGGAATTAGATGCATGTTGGAGACATCCTTGGACCAGTAGGTGGAGACCTATAAAGGGTACATAATAAGGAATTTAAAGCCCCTCTTAACCCATAGGCCAGATACTCTTGAGGCAGTTGCTGTCCGCACAGAGTAAATGATTCAGTAGCGCCGTCTGTCTTACAATAGTGGAACGCGTCGCGCCAATTGAAATCGACATGGGGTCCATCCAAGCAAGTCAACTTAATTCTTATCTTTTCCGTTGGCCTCCCTCTTTGTCTTTTCTGACGTTTGGTGCCACTGGCACTGGCTTGTGGTCGCGAATTGGACTCAAAATTGGTGCCAAGTGAAGTGAGGAAGTCATCGTCATCAATGTTCTCCATTATTTCCCCAATCCGGCTGGTAAAAATCTGACTCGTTCGTCTGATTCTTGCTCTGGTAGCGCTTAAGGAACTGGGTGCCCCATCCCCCGTACTTACAGCATGACCTAAACAGAAAATGAATAATGCAAAAGTTTTGTTTTCAGAAAATTACTTCGATTTGGGACAACACTCCTAACTCCTTTTGCCCATTTCAAACCGGAACCACTTTACAATCAATTAGTCTAGAATATCTAGGCCTACATGTTGTATAATGAAGCACACGGTCTGAATACTGCTGTCTAGAAAGGGGTTAAAAGACAATCATTCATGTAAGAAAGCAGGCAAGGAGTATCAAGTCAGGCGCGGGTCCAAGGGGGGGGGGGGGGGGCTTATAAGACTTAGAAAATAGATTGATATAGCTACCATATTATTTACAAGGCTTTATAAATCATTTATCAAGCTATGAAAATAATATTCAATTCAGTCACACGCTTCGAGGGGTTTCAGCGTTCGCACGTGCCTAAGTAAGTAATTAATTATAAAGCTTTATAAATGGAATTAGTAAGTCATATAAATGGAATTAGTAAGTCATATAAATGGCCCATTGTGACCGCATCCGCCCGTCATACTGAACAACACCTTGCCAGACCCAAGGTCAGGAGTCATTAATACAGGTAATGTTGTTGTGGGTACCAATTGGTCACCAATACCCTTAACCGTTATTCAACCAAACAATCATATTCCCCATTTGACACAAGATGACAGTGTTAATTTGCAGTCCCCCCAGTCAGAAGAAATTACACTGTCAGGTAATAATTTGGGGGCTGATCATAGCACGGATGGGTACCCGGTAGATAATATTCATGAAATGATTGGATACAATGTTACAGCTGCAAATAAATCTAAAATAATAGCCAGTGAATATATTGATCTAAGTATTTTATTAAAATCAAATCATGATCAAGAACAACATAAATTTCTTTATATTGATGCGGATGGTAAAATAATATCTAAAGACAAAGAATCAAATAAATATCTTGATATAGAAAAATGGACTGATGCTTCCATTATTTTCATGAGCATTTATACCAGTGCACATCCCAAAAAATGTCAAGAATTGTTGAAATATTTGAGAACAATACGCATGGCGGTTTCTAGAACCAATGGACACGGTTGGCGTCAATATGACGAACAAATTAGACATAAACGAGCTCAAGCACCACATAGCTCTTGGGAACATTGACTATGAGCTTTGGCTCTTGTATATGTCCAACGTTACTAACTCTCAATATGTGCATGCGCCTGCGACACACACTTCAACGAAACCCCCAAATTCTACCTATGGCAAATGTTATGATTTTAATTTTAAAGGGTTTTGTAATAGATATCATTGTCCATATGCGCACACATGCATACAGTGTGGTGCTGAACATGCAAAAGTGGCATGCTGCCAAAGTAGAGCTTTTTACCCACAAAACTCCTTTCGGCCTCAATCTACCTTTCGATTCAATAACACTGCCAGTTTTAGACAACCAGACTCTTCAAACATTAGACAAAGAGGAGCCTCCAATTTTACCCGTGCTAGGAGATTCCCAAGATATATGGGCCCTCGGTAATTCACCCCTCAAAACAGAAATTATAACTAAATACCTTAATATCTACTCTAATAAATCTGCTGCAGACTTTTTATACGCCCACATTTTCACGTGGACGTATATTGTCGTCGCCCCTGTCCGTCCGTCCGTCCGTTCGGACGTCCGTCCGTCCACAATTGTTTGTGAACAGTCTACAGGTCACAATTTTTATCCGATTTCAATGAAACTTGAAATATAGGTTTATCACCCTAAGATCTCGGTTCCTTTCGATATTGGCATCAATCGGACCATAACTTCATGGATTATGACCCCCGATTGTACGAAAAATCATGTTTTTGGCTTGTGAACACTGTAGAGGTCACAATTTTTATCCGATTTTGTTGAAACTTGAAATATAAGTTTATAACCCACAGATCTAGGTTCTTTTCGATATTCGCGCATATCGGACCGTACCTTCCTGAATCATGGCCCCTGAATGTACGCAAAAACGCGTTTTTTGGCTTGTGGACCCTATAGAGGTCATAATTTTTTATCCGATTTAAAAAACCGTATTATTATATCACCGTTAAACCCTAAGGACGGTTGAGTTCGAATTTCGTGAAAAACGACCCAAAACTGACAGACAAAATGGCCGCCGTTCGTTCTCAAATAGCGTAAAAATATGGTATATCAAGGTTGTGGACCCTATAGAGGTCACAATTTTATCCGATTTTGTTGAAACTTGAAATGTAAGTTTATAACCCAAAGATCTCGGTTCCTTTTGATATTCGCGCATATCGGACCGTAAATTCCTGAATTATGGCCCCTGATTGTACGCAAAAACGCGTTTTTTGGCTTGTGGACCCTATAGAGGTCATATTTTTTATCCGATTTAAAAAAACGTATTATTATATCACCGTTAAACCCTAAGAACGGTTGAGTTCGAATTTCGTGAAAATCGGCCCAAAACTGACAGACAAAATGGCCGCCGTTCGTTCTCAAATAGCGTAAAAAATATGGTATATCAAGGTTGTGGACCCTATAGAGGTCACAATTTTTATCTGATTTTGTTGAAACTTGAAATGTAAGTTTATAACACAAAGATGTGATAGAATCCGATTTAAAAAATCATATTATTATATCACCGTTACACCCTAAGGACGACGGAGTTCGAATTTCGTGAAAATCGGCCAAAAACTGACAGATAGAATGGCCGCCCTTCGTTCTCAAATAGCGTAAAAATATGGTATATCAAGGTAGTGGACCCTATAGAGGTTACAATTTTTATCCGATTTTGTTGAAACATGAAATGTAAGTTTATAACCCAAAGATCTTGGTTCCTTTCGATATTCGCGCATATATCGGACCGTAACTTACTGAATTATGGCCCCTGATTGTACGAATAATCGCGTTTTTAGCTTGTGGACCCTATAGAGTTCATAATTTGTATCCGATATAAAAAAACGTATTATTATATCACCGTTACACCCTAAGGATGACTGAGTTCGAATTTCGTGAAAATCGGCCAAAAACTGACAGATAGAATGGCCGCCCTTCGTTCTCAAATAGCGTAAAAATATGGTATATCAAGGTAGTGGACCCTATAGAGGTTACAATTTTTATCCGATTTTGTTGAAACATGAAATGTAAGTTTATAACCCAAAGATCTTGGTTCCTTTCGATATTCGCGCATATATCGGACCGTAACTTACTGAATTATGGCCCCTGATTGTACGAAAAATCGCGTTTTTAGCTTGTGGACCCTATAGAGTTCATAATTTTTATCCGATATAAAAAAACGTATTATTATATCACCGTTACACCCTAAGGATGACTGAGTTCGAATTTCGTGAAAATTGGCCCAAAACTGACAGACAAAATGGCCGCCTCTCGTTCTCAAATTGCTTTAAAATATGGTATATCAAGGTTGTGGACCCTATAGAGTTCACAATTTTTATCCGATTTTGTAAGTTTATAACTCAAAGATCTTGGTTCCTTTCGATATTTGCGCATATCGAATTGTAATTTCCTGAATTATGGCCCTTGATTGTAGGAAAAATCACTTTCGTTTTAGCTTGTTTTCTATCCATCTCTCGAAAATGTGGGCGTATCCTGCCTGGCAGCCGCTGGTTAATACACGGCCTACGAAAAGGATTTACACTCCAATATGAAGGTCCTAGAATGCGTGTACAATCAAATAATTTACTATCTGTTAAACAATATCTAAATGAAGTTTGTGCAAAAATTACTAAGGAAGTAAAACTAGGTCGAATCCTGGGCCCATTCGACCAACCCCCAATCTCCAACCTTCATATTTCCCCTATAGGCATTGTACCGAAATCTGATGATGGGGTGGGTGGAGAATGAGAACACATCTTTCTTCGCCATATGGTATGAGTATTAATGATTATATAGACCCCCAATTATGTACGGTTAAATATACATCCTTCGATAAAGTCAATGATAAAACATCTTCTTTAGGCAAGAATTGCATGTTAGCTAAGATGGACGTGCAGTCTGCATTCAGATTATTAAAGATAAACCCAGCAGATTTCGATCTTCTTGGTTTCATGTTTGAACATAGGTACTACATTGATAAATGCCTATCCATGGGCTGTGCGGTATCGTGTAGCATATTTGAAACATTTTCAACTTTAGTTCAATGGTTAGTTACATACAATTCTGGTATTACACCCTTAGATCATTACCTTGATGACTTTATTTTCATGGGGGCAGTGAATAGTGATGACCGTATTATACTGCTGAAGACATTTACTAATATTTGTCAGGAATTGGGTATCCCCTTATCCAGCGATAAAACAGTTGGCCCAACCACCACTTCAACGTTTTTGGGATTAGAAATAGACACGCAATCATTTACTGTTAGAATTCCTGAACAGAAATCAAAAGATTTCACGGTCCTAATCAAAACATTCCTGAACAGGAAGAAGGTAATCCTTAAAGAAATGCAGTCCTTGGTTGGTACATTGAATTTCTTTTGTCGAGCTATTAGATCTGGTCGGGCATTTAATCGTCGTTTTTATGACTTGATGATAGGCATTAAACGACAACACCATTTCATCCGATTATCACATGAGATTAAGGAGGATCTGCACGTCTGGCTTGAATTCTTGTAGCACTTCAATGGAGTAACCCTTTTCCCAGAAGAATGTTGGTTATCTAATGACACTCTCAAACTTTCAGAAATAGTGCAGGGGCACATGGCTTGAGCTGCGGGGTTTATTTTAACTGGGAATGGACTTATTTGCAATGGCCTCAATCATGGAAAGATCACTCAATCATGCGAGATATTACTTTCTTAGAGCTGGTTCCTGTTGTCTTAGCTATTTCTATTTGGGGTCCTCGACTTTCTAATAGGAAAGTTATATTTAATATTGATAATCAGGCTCTAGTTTCAATTCTTAATTGTCAAACATCAAAATCTAAACGTGTCATGTATATCTTGAGACCATTCATTCTAAAAATTCTGCAATTTAATATTATTTTCAAAGCTTGTCATATATGTGGCTATAAAAATACAATAGCTGATTCTATTTCGAGACAGGACTGGAAACGGTTTCGGAAAGAAGCTCCAAAAGCCAAGCTGAAACCAGAGCAAATACCCAATACTTTCCTAGAGGCCATATTGAGAATGAAGTTGACAGACTACTAACAGCTGCCCTTTCAAGAAATACTGCGTTAA